ATGCAGCTCTACACTTCCTCAGCTCACAACAGGTGGATGCAACACTGAAATGTATAGGATATGTTAAGCAATTAAATATATTTTGCTCGAATGATACTAACAATAATGCTAAGAATTGTGATGAATAACTAACATGACGAGAAATAACCTGCTTAATAATTATAAACATATAATATTATTTAATGTTTCTGCTTCATCAGCTTCATATTAATTTCGATGACTTACTTGGGTAAACTGAAATATTAAGCTAAAGGTAATAGTATATCATGCAATGTATAATTTATATAATATATGTAGTGAAATGCAAAATGTATGTATGTATGCAGGTATTTCTTTAAAACACAGAAAATATAACAAAATACCAGTGGCGTCCCGTAACCTCACTATTTACCTTTGGTGCACAGATTTAATGCCATATTCATATACGAATCGGTTGAAAATACACTCAATCTTCTAGTTTACTCGATATCTATCTATTGCAAGCAATATATTGATTATAATTTATGTTTTGAGAGTTGGTGCACATGTAGATCGAGGTTAAGGAAACGCCACTGGAAAATACAGAAAACCTCGATTTTAGTCACTCAAATTCTTTACACTCAAGCTATATATGAATATTTTAATTGCATGGTATGATTGAACTCAACTTTGCCTATTTAATGAATCCACAATTTAAGTAAAGAATCAAATTGCTAAATAATCGAGGTTGTTTGAGCATACAAGAGTTATAAAAACAAGCATCAATGATTAATTCTTGAAATAGCAAAACTCTGCAAAGGTAAAACAATTTAATAACATATGGTGATATTCAATTTATTCTCTGGGTAATCCAAATTCTGAAAACCATAGATATCATATTATATTATTATAAAATAAATGTAAATAACAATGATTTGATATTTGATACACCTTCTGTAAATGAAAATTATAGTTACAATGATATAATGAGATTTTAAATATGTGAAATAAAAATAATTTACTAGTCATGCAATATATAACATATAATTAATGTAAAATAAACAAGTACCGTAAAACAAGGAATGTTTTTCAAATTTTATATTTTTAAAACAAGTACTGAGGATCCAAGAGTTAATTCGTTAGTAATATGTTGAACGAAAATTAAAGCATTTGCACTATTTTTTTAGTTTTGTGACCTAACTTCTGCATTTTGATTTGGGGTTACTTTGATAATGCTCGATGAATGTAGAAAAAAAAATGAGTGAAACTCAAACAATTTAGTTCTTTAAATATGAAACTTTGAATGAGTATATAATCAGAAAACTTTAAAAGCAATAATAATTCAACATTGAATTTGTGATGGCTGCATCGGAAAAAAAAACATTTCATAAGTGATGGTTTGCGTGCTTTTTCAAAAGCGCGAAAAACACGAAAATGGTTTTTTAATATTTTTGTAAAATATGTAACACATACTATATAAAACTATATACAATATCAACGGAAATACCCTAAGCTACAATATGGAATCAATGTTTCTTATTTGGAAAACGCACAGCGAGTAAATTTATTATTTATATTATACTATCAAAGTTAACCACATTATCAAAGATACCTCGTTTTACGGTACTACAAAATACAAATAAGCTCGATTTTAGTTAACCTCCGTACATTTAACTGATTTATTAGATATTTTATTGGAATTGAAACAAAATCTTTATTATGCACCATGGAATCTTTAAACGCAATATGGAATGCTTTTATAATATTGGTAAACTTTAATAATGAATCAATAGTCACAAAAATCGAGGTTATTTGGATAGTTAACAGTTTTCATGCACTTGTTATCATGCATTACAATGATATGAACGAAGGCTGAAAAAGTGTAATGGTATTATTCTAAAAAAATTCCATCATCGAAGAGCTGAGAATCTACTTAAAGATTTAAATCAATAAATCCAGCCTAAACGGAGGACTCACGAACACAATAAGCTCCCCCATCACTAATATTCCGAATCTGATTATTAAATGAGTATTTACAATTAAATATATCAACAAGTAATGGAATTTTCTCTCCGAGAATGGATAAATAAAATGGTTAATTGCTCTGTCATATAAACGTTGAACATACATTAGACAAAATCAATCAATGTTACGTTGCTTCTTCCAGTTGTGTTTTGATGCTGTTTTAAATATTTGTCATTGAATATATAATAATAATATAATAGGACCTGGGATTTATTAAAACTCAAACTCCACGGTGGTGCCCTTTACACAAGAATAAGCCTCTACTGCCGATGATCTTTTAAACCTGGAGACAAAAAAGCTACGAAAAAGCGCTTATGCCTTCATTAAATTCTACTCATACGCGATGTTAATAAAAAATAATAAGATTCTCTTGAATGGGTCGCGTCGCGTCGCGTCCACTCCGGCCGCGGCCTAAGACGGGTACAGAATCCATAAAACATTCACATTTTTGAGCTACCGTGCCCCTTACTTCAAGCTTGACGCTTTACCAGCGTAAAAGCTAGCAATGCTAAATAGAAATACGCGTATCTGTCAAGGATAAGCAAATAAAGTAGTGGAATTAAATGGAAAATACTAATCCTTCTCTCTCTCATTATACAGGTATTCCACTAAGACGCCCACATTCATCAGGTTTTTAGGGTTTTTGCATTGTATTGCATTTCATTCGGGTTTAAGTTATAGCCTAAAAAGTCCAGCCCAAACCACAACACCCAAACTTCTCTTCGAAGCTCCCCGAAATTTCTCCGAAGCTGATCTTCTTGGAATTGTTCTAATCATCTTTAGAGCTCCCTGAGCTGCACTCTGGAGTTCCCTGTACTTCTCTCAGAAGCTCGCCAAACTTCGCTCTGAAGTGTCCTGAACTTTTCTTTGAAGTTCCCCGATCTTCTCTCAGAAGTTCTCGATTTTTTCTCTAAATTTCTTTGACCTTCTCTGTCTTCCCCTGAAGTTCTTTGATGTTCCTCAAACATCGCTGAAGTTCTCCTAACATCTCTGAAGCTCCCTAAACTTCCTTGAAGGTTCCTTAACTTCTCTCCGAATCTTTCATAAACTTATCTCTGAAGTTCAACGAACTTCTCCCTGAAAGAACCCGAACTTCTCTCTGAGGTTCTCTGAAGTTGTGGAAACTTTGGGAGCTACTAAGGCATTTGGACAACTCCTGAAAGGATCAAGTAACTTTTGAAAAAAAAAATAGCTCTGATAATCGGAGATGCTAGGGAGCTTCAAATAGCTTGTTATCTCTGTTCTTTCTGAAGTTTGCTGATCTTATATCTGAAGTTCCATCTTCTGAAGCTCCGCAAATATCCCTGAAGGTCCCTGAACACCTTTGAAGTTACCCGAACTTTTCTATAAAGTTTCCCAAATTTCACTCACTGGACTTAGGATTTGTTGCGGTTGTTGCAGAGAACTTGAAAAGTGCTGGTGTTATAACCCAGACAACCAGAATACACGTACATTCAAAGTTGTTTTCGTGATATACAAACATATATACAAACAAACAAATCGTATAGAATGCAAAGAAATGGCTTTTACGTACAAAAGTGGAGGCCATATACGTTCAAATTTTAATTTAATTTTAAACGAGTTGATTTAACATCATATACGATTTAATCTGTAATAACAAATTCACTTTGAAAAGTCTTACGATGTAATCCGATTTGATTCGTAATACAGTACGACGGAAAAATGAGTCATCGCAAATAGGTCGGGAATTTGCATTCTATACGATTTAACATAAATATAATGCGATGCATGCCATTCTTATATGCGATTTTGACTTAAACTGTAGCAATTTACGATACTGTCTGCACATTGTTATACGACTTCTGGTTGTCTGGGAAGTATTCAGGGAACTTCAGACGAGATCGTTGGCTCCTTCATCAAACAAGTTCGAGATTAGAGATTAATGCCTCAGAACATCCCGGTGGAGCCGACTGGGATTGAACCCAGGCCTGCTGGGGTGAGAAGTAATCACGCTTACCATTACACCACCGGTGCTATCTGGGAATTTCAAATATGTTTAGATTTTTGATCTTGAATTAGGATATTTTTTATATATTTTCTAAAAAGGAATTCTACAATCGTTGTCAAGAAGTCATCGAAGATTCTCCCAAAAAAGATAATTAAATATTCCTAAAAGTGGTCCTTTTGTGGATGTTCTTACAGAGGATAAAGAGGCAAGGTAAATTCCCCAGGATATCCACAAATCCTGAAGTTGGCTTCTAATATATATATTTAATTTCGTTTGTCCTTGCTTGTATTAATAATGTCTCATATTCAACACAAGGTGCTTCGGGACGATTTTCGAATATATCCATTCGTGATAAAAACTCGTTCAAAGACCGATTCGCGTTGCTCATTATTGTCATTTTTGACGTCACATGGGTTTAAAACCCAAATTGTCGTTGAAGTGGTTCGAATCAGCTGACAGCAGTAAATCATCGTCAGTGTGCTATTTACCAAGCAATTAAGCTGAAGTTTCATATTTCTGGATAACCTTGAGCGCCGGGTACGTGCTCAGTCAGGGAATATCCATTCTGACGTGCTTAGGAAGATATTGACTGTTCGTTGAGTACTGCTTGAATTAATTTGTCTCATTCGGCCCAATCAATTCTGAATGAAACAAGTCGTAAAAAACTTATCTATAGCGTTGCATTTCAACGAAGCACGAGTGCACTGGTGATGGAAATCAAACAAAAAGATCTAATAGAGAACCCAACTGATTAATTAGATACCTCTTTTGCCTATCTAATATAATCATCCGATCATCGTAGGTTTCGAAGATATAAGGAAATCCTATCTCAACCCAACATTGCGTGTTTGGCAACGACTAATCAATTTATTATGCGTGTATATCTATGCTATTGTATTTACTATACTGCATGTATTTATCTAAACTCAAGTCTCCAGTAACTCAATCAACATCAATATAATTACAATGGCAATGCTGTTTCGGAACGACTTTGTACCGCAAATTTTCCAACTCCTTCAATAAACCACTCATTAATAAAATCTTAGGTTCAACCCATTTTCAACACGTGCTTCTTGGTCCCGATGGTAAAATCCGCGAAGTGTTGACGCCAATCCACAGTCCTCAGATCACACGGGAATAGCTTTCGTTCCTCGGGATCAAGATTCTGTTGAATTCGTCGTACATTAGCATTTTCCACCTCCCAGGTGGTTGTCGTTAACAGTCGAGATTTTTCCATCATTTGAAGAACTCGCTCAATGGCCTTTCGTATGCCCGGTCGTTGACCGGTCCAGATACGGATCTGATCCACGGCCGAAGCATGAGATCGCATCAGGTGAACTGCAAGGCGGTAGTGAGACTCGTTCGTTGTACGGGTGTTCATAAAGTGGCGACTGGAATCGAAGAGAGGTTAAATCCAAGAACTATGATCAAGTCATGGTTCAACTTACTAGATATATCGTTTTGGCCAGGGTAGTCCTTCAAGAAGATAGTCATACATTTTTCCATAGTTTGGACAGCAGCTATCAGCGTAGTTGTAGACCGGAATATTGTCTTGGGTAGGATTGAAGTTTCTAGCTACGTCGACCGCGCTCAACAGTAAGGCATTGGAACAGTAGTCAACGGGAGCAAACATTGGAACTTTTGTACTGTCCACGAAGACGGCACTGTACAACCCTAGAAGTATGGGTAGCATGTAGCCACCTGGACCATACAGATTGTTGATCCATCCAACCAGTGGCTCTTCGTACGTCGAAGTAACTGAAATTGAAAATGCATGTTTATCGCAGGGATTGGTCATGAATTTTATACGTTAGCTTACTTCCAGGAGGCCTGAATATCCCGACTGGTATGTTAGAATACTCCTGCTGGATCTTTGCCTCGACACATTTCTTTGCAAACGCATAGGTGTTCGGGAGATTCTTCACGATGAACGGAGTTAAGGCATCCTTCTCTGGGTCACTCAACTGACTCAGAAGATTGGCAATCGAATCGTATCCACCGAATCCTACATCGGTGTAGACCTTCTCCCGAATAGTACTGTTATCACAGTTGGAATACATCGTGGATACTTGCATGGCTGATTGGAGATTTTTCATCTGCTTCACTAGGTCGTACAAGTGCAGGTTATTTTGCACATTTTCTCTTAGGGATACTTCCAGTGGTTCGTTGAAACTGACGGATGCTGCTAGCTGGAAGACGACGTTGACTTCTTGCTCTAGCTGACGACGAGTTTCCGCATTCAGTGCCAAATCTTGTCGGGTCATGTCCACTTCGATTGCTTCTACCTTTGTTGGTACGGTAGACAACGAGCGAACCCGATCGAAGACAGCGCCCTGCATCAGCTTCTGAAGTCTTTGCTGTGCATCGAGACCTTTTTTCTTGCGTATCAGGAGGTACGCCTTTCGGGGTTGAAGCGTCCGGATGGTTTTCTCCAGCATAGTTTGACCGAGAAATCCGGTGGCTCCCGAAATCAGGACCGTTGAGTCTTTATAGAACTGACGAATGGCTGCCATGTTATGGCTCACTGATCACTGAACTGTTTGTTTCGGTTCGTAGTTTGTAACTAATATAGCATCGAACTGCACCCTGCGCTGGCCGAAGTCGTATAATCATATGCATAAAACCCTCAATTTAACATATTGTTGTGATTCACGCAATGCTATGGTGTGATTGTCCAAAACATTTGCAACCAGCACTGGTTAAATTGATGAGGTAAGTGGCTGTAAAGTATAATTAATTACTTAGGGTTTCTGCTAAGCTCACCCTGCTCTACATGGGAATATGTTTCTTGGTGCATTGAAAGGTTCACACAGGCACTGGATAGTAAAATGAAATAATTAGATTGAAAATTAGTTGAGACATGGCGCCCCAGCATTCTGTGCTTTTCGAAAGAGTTTCCAAGAAGTGCTTTTTACGGATGCGTCATTAATTAAACCAACACATAAACATGAGTCTCATGTCGGTAGAAAGCTGAACAGACTCGAAACACTGTCGGTATCTTCCGGGTAATAGTTGTTGGTAGACTTAATCTCCTCACCAGTGCTGATAAAAATCATTTCTTCTACACTCAACGTAGCTAAGACCAGAAAGTCATGTTCAACTTATTGGCTCAGCTCTGGTACTCTCTTCGGTCCCAAGCTAATCGATGCACCCCTCGAAACGTAGAAAAATCCACGAACCCCTCATTTTATCTGTCAAACTTTCATAGCGAATCAAAACAAACATAGTGTAGTACTAGAATTTCAAATAGAATGGGGCACCTTAATCGATTTGCTTGGGACCAATGGGCTAGTCAAATAGTGAGCCAATTTTAAATCGTTAGTTGCCATCGGTTGGTCCAACTACCTGCGTGAATTTGAAGTTTGACATAACAACATTCTCTTGATCAAGGCAACCTCTGAGTATCGAAATCAACATGTTTTTCTTCATTCGGGGCTAGATGTTTATTGTCGCTTGGCTTGTTGTCAATATTAATATTCGTCTTCATCTTGGTAGGGATGATTTTGAGGATCAAATGCAAAATGATTATTTTCATTTTACACAAATATAGCGCTGTAAAATGTGTTGTGTTTGTATTTACACACAGTCGATGGAAAATTATTGCCTCATGCTGAATTGATGGTTATATCAAGGCTTTAGGCTCTGGGGTTGACAATATTCAAAATAATCATTTTGCCCTAGATTAATTTGATTATTTTGCTTTTGAGGATCGCTTCTGATTTTGACAATTTTGGGTTAGATAATCAAGCACTGGTGCATATCAACATACGCCTATTGACCAGTTTTGATAGTGTTGTAATTGCGAATACTCGCGGGTAGTCGACGGCTACTTAGGATCAAACCAAAAGAAAATATTTTTTAATATTTTCACCAGGAAAAGTGCACTTGAATTTGAATTGCGAAGCGAAGTCATATTTTACTTGGAAAATTTCTACTTTTTAAAGCAATTTATGGCTGTACGGTCCTATTACGGTGTGTTCCATTTATGGCCTACGGCCTTGTTTTTGAATGTTAATATAAATAGATATGTAAGTCAATTTAAAGACCACTCTCAAACCAACGGTCCAATTAAATATTGTAACCCAGTCACACCAACAACACATAACACAGAATACATAACGGGAAGGAGTAAGGAAGAAGGTGGGCGTTGGAAACAGGAGAAGGATATGGACCAGGGGTGGTGGAAAAGTGGGAGGGAGGTGGAAATGGGCTTAGGTCAAGGGGGAAGCTACCCAAGTAACAATTTCCAGTTGAAGAAACGCTTTCGTTTTGATTTTGTTCAGCTGCATGTTGAATAATAATTGCACAATGTGTTCACCACAACTTTTATAAAACCCTTGTTTACACTGGTTTGGAGAACCTATACAACTGCAACACAAAGGTGTTGTCTAACGTATTCAGTAAAACGTTTATCCAAAATCAATTTCTTGTTGAAGAAACGCTTCCATTGTGATTTTATTCAACTGCATGCTGAATAATAACTGTACAATTTGTTTATTACAACTTCTGTAAAACTCTTGTTTACACTGGTTTGGAGAACCTGTTCAACTACAGCATTATATGTATACGCGGTATAGGAGTAGAAGCAACTTTTATATAACGTTTATAGATACATATTTAAACTCAAGCTTTATTGTTTTGGTGAAAGCTCTTATACAACGTTTGTAGACACTTATTGACAGCTGCTTTGAAATTTAGTAGAGAGTAAACCTGAGAGGCGTTTGTTGCACTCTTTTATGACTCCTAAATAATCATTGTACAGCAAGCGGTGAAAAGCGTTTATAGCACTTTTCAATGACTCCTTAACAACCGGATAGAAGCAACTTTTATACAACGTTTATAGATACATATTTAAACTCAAGCTTTATTGTTTTGGTGAAAGCTCTTATACAACGTTTGTAGACACTTCCTGACAGCTACTTTGAAATTTAGTAGAGAGGAAACCTGAGAGGCGTTTGTTACACTCTTTTATGACTCCTAAATAATCATTGTACAGCAAGCGGGGAAAAGCGTTTATAACACTTTTCAATGACTCCTTAACAACCGGATAGAAGCAACTTTTATACAACGTTTATAGATACATATTTAAACTCAAGCTTTATTATTTTGGTGAAAGCTCTAATACAACGTTTGTAGACACCTCCTAACAGCTGCTTCGAAATGTATTAGAGATTGAACCTGAGAGGCGTTTGTTACACTCTTTTATGACTCCTAAATAATCACTATACAGCAAGCGGTGAAAAGCGTTTATAGCACTTTTTAATGACTCCTTAATAACCGTTGTGTAAGTACTCACAATATTCACGGATTAAAATTAGTTTAACAATTGTCGTGGTGCGCCAAAATAATTGCTTGTACAGTTTTTATTAATTTAATTTATTTGTGCACATTGAAAAAATATGTAATTATGCCATAATTCACATTCTGTGATCATGGAGGAAGTAGTAACAAGCATCTGTTTAATCTTTGATTGATATTCTTTCAATTAATCTATCTAATCATTAATTGAGAGAATTTATCTAGAAATGTTATCGTTGTTTATATGATATATGTCTTAAATTAATGTTTGCATTTATTAATAACACCTATATATAATTTACCTCTACTCCACCAAAGGTTTCTCGAAGCAAGATTCGAACTCATGATCCCGGATTGCCAGCCGCTTCTGTTTCCATCTGCTCTATTCTTGAATACATATTTTGATCATATGAGAGAAGTATATCAAGCTCATCTTGAGTGACTTCTCTTGCAGTCGAATAATCATTGCCTTATGGTTATATAAACATGCCTATCACTTGTGCTATTTTTAGCAACAAAATTGTGGTTGGTCGAAAGTAAACAATCATTTAAGAGTGCTCCAATCAGCTTTTGAAGCTTTTAACCAAATGGCAATACAACTACATTCTTGTACAACTCTGGAAGCTATTATTCAACGTTTGATCAACTCAGGTGTTGTATAAGAGCTCCCAATTGTTTGTTTTGATGCGTTTATTCCACGTTCTGTATAACTCTTGTGAATCAGTTTAACTAAGGTGCTATAAAAGTTATCGTAGGTCTTATAAAGCATATAGTTAAACCGAACGTAAACAATCATTTAAGAGTGCTCCAAGCAGCTTTTGAAGCTTCTAACCAAAAATGCAATACAACTACATTCTTGTTCAACTCTGGAAGCTATTATTCAACGTTTGATCAACTCAGGTGTTGTAAAAGAGCTCCCAATGGTTTGTTTTGATGCGTTTATTCCACATCCTATATGGCTCCTGTCAAACAGTTTAACCGAACGTAAACAATCATTTAAGAGTGCTCCAAGCAGTTTTTGAAGCTTTTAACCAAATGGCAATACATACAACTACATTCTTGTACAACTCTGGAAGCTATTTTTCAACGTTTGATCAACTCAGGTGTTGTAAAAGAGCTCCCAATGGTTTGTTTTGATGCGTTTATTCCACATCCTATATGGCTCCTGTCAAACAGTTTAACCGAACGTAAACAATCATTTAAGAGTGCTCCAAGCAATTTTTGAAGCTTTTAACCAAATGGCAATACAACTACATTCTTGTACAACTCTGGAAGCTATTATTCAACGTTTGATCAACTCAGGTGTTGTATAAGAGCTCCCAATTGATTGTTTTGATGCGTTTATTCCACGTTCTGTATAACTCTTGTGAATCAGTTTAACTAAGGTGCTATAAAAGTTATCGTAGGTCTTATAAAGCATATAGTTAAACCGAACGTAAACAATCATTTAAGAGTGCTCCAAGCAGCTTTTGAAGCTTCTAACCAAAAATGCAATACAACTACATTCTTGTTCAACTCTGGAAGCTATTATTCAACGTTTGATCAACTCAGGTGTTGTAAAAGAGCTCCCAATGGTTTGTTTTGATGCGTTTATTCCACATCCTATATGGCTCCTGTCAAACAGTTTAACCGAACGTAAACAATCATTTAAGAGTGCTCCAAGCAGTTTTTGAAGGTTTTAACCAAATGGCAATACAACTACATTCTTGTTCAACTCTGGAAGCTATTATTCAACGTTTGATCAACTCAGGTGTTTTATAAGAGCTCCCAATTGTTTGTTTTGATGCGTTTATTCCACGTTCTGTATAGCTCTTGTGAATCAGTTTAACTAAGGTGCTATAAAAGATATCGTAGGTCTTATAAAGCATATAGTTAAACCGAACGTAAACAATCATTTAAGAGTGCTCCAACAGCTTTTAAAACTTTTAATCAAATGGCAATACAACTACATTCTTGTTCAACTCTGGAAGCTATTATTCAACGTTTGATCAACTCAGGTGTTTTATAAGAGCTCTCAATTGTTTGTTGGGTACTGGGTCAAACTGAAGAGATGGTTCTCTTTCACTTCAGCCATTGCGCGAGATAGATCGATCTGCCAAGTTTGCTATAAGTTTTGAAAAAAATCGTGAAGAGTTACCAACAAATACCGGCTAATACCACCGAATACGGAGTCAGGTAGGACCCAATCAATAACCTGGTAGCGGAATTCCCAGCC